ATTATCTGATCATACCGAGCTTGAAAACTATTTCAGGGCGGGTTTTGGAACGAAAAATGTCATACGCGAACTGTATTTCAACCTTTTACCTCGCTGAGAAATATGAGTGTGACGAGCTTATCACCAACAGCAGGCTTTATATTCACGAAAACATCGTTACCGTGGCAAAACTGGATGAATTTTTGCAGTTGGAAGCTAAAGAGATCGAGAAGTGGATTTCGTCCGACGAAATTACAGTCAAAGAGGAAGCTGATGTTTTTAAAATCGTATTAGACTGGGTAAACCACAGAAAGAGTGAGCGAAAAACAGCATTTGAAGAACTGTTTCGTCATGTTCGACTCAGTTTTCTGTCGCGTGACTGTTTAGAGGATGTCGTGACAAACGAACTGGTGCGTGAGAGTTTCACTTGTGTTAAATTGGTCATGGATGCAACCGTACAGATGGCTACCTTTGTTGATGAAGATGATATTCTGCAATCACCAAGAATATGTCTTTATACACGTGTCATTGTAGCTCGTGGTGGCATGTACACTTATTGTTATCTTCCTGAAGAAGACCTCTGGAAGCGCCTACCAGATGGTCTGAAGGAGCAAAACGCAAGTTCAACTCGGATGATAAAATTTCGTGGCCAGTTGTTCACATTCACCAATGATCAAAATTCAGAGATATACGATCCTGTTTTTGACGTTTGGTCCGAGCTGAACTTGAGCGCAAATTCTGCAAAGGTGGCTGTTCTTAAAGGAGAAATTTATGCTGTTGAAGTTGACAACTTTTGCAGGAAAACTTCCACGAAGAGGTACAATGTAACGCAGTATGCATGGGAGACAATTCACTCATATCATGAACAGTGTAGACTGGATGCTTGTGTTATTGCAGCCGGCGACCATCTGTATGCGTTTGGTGGGAACATTCCACACTCAAGTGAGTACGTTGCCATAGCTGAGAGATTTGACACTTTGGAAAACAAGTGGGAGAGAATTGCAGATATGCTGGAAGGAAGAAGATGCGCTTTTGGCGTTGCCTCTCGAGAAAAAATCTTTGTAGCTGGAGGAGAAAACATGACAGGAAGATTAAAAACTTGTGAGATGTACAATACGTTAACAAACGAATGGCAACTTGTTGCAAACTTGAAAGTCCCACGCTGTTATGGTAGTATGGTTTGTCTGGACGGAAAGCTGTACGTACTGGGTGGAGAAAGTAATTTAAACCGAAAGGAACTAAGTGTTGAATTTTTGCACCCTGCAAACGACCAATGGTTCCTCC